TTGAAAATTTTATATTACATTGCATTTTTGTGCATTCGGCTAAATCTCACACCTAGTGATGATGTCATCGTGAAGCAGCCGTACATCGGCGCTTGAATGGAAAAATTGAAAAAAATATCGCGTCGGCAATAATCCCCACCACATTGCAATTTTGCAACGCTAATACATATTTTAAATATGTTTAATACGTTCAGTATTGCATCGGCCGCTTGTGTGAAAGGTTCATATAAAATGTATCCTACTGAAGGAAGCCTCATGAATTATTACGTTCCGATTCAAGATGCTGATGAAACTTCACCGTGTAAGAAGAAGAAATGTAACAAATAAGTTTTAATTAACTTAAAGAATTTTCATACTTTTTAAATATTTTTTACACCTTTTAAATATTTATATAAATAATATTTTTTTTACTCCCCAGCATTTCATCCGAGCCTCGTCGTGCGGTTCGTATACTTGGAAGACGATACGCCTTAACCCCGGCGTCATACAAATATTTGGATATTGGAATAAACGTTGGAGCTGTATCTTACGTGGAATTGGTTCTCGGCGACAATTGGGGCAATCAAATAATATTGCCTTTTGAAACGTGGAAATCGCTCATGCAGAAACGTGGGGACATTGAACGGCTTCTACAATCGACTGTAATCCCATTGAGGGTCCGAGATTTGACATTCGAAGTGGTTAAAATATCTGATTCGAATATTATAAAAATCGGATTACTCGCGCTGGTTTCCCCTCGCCCCCCCGACCCCTCAGAGGACCTGCGTTAGAACTCTCCTTGCTATACTACTCAAACCTATTAACCTATATCTGTCAAAAGCTGGTATGGATGCAAGCAGTAGTGTTGCTACTAATTACCGTTATTACAGGTCAAAGAAACGACTCAAAGCAGGTAAGTATCTAATAATAATTATATGTTCTTTCAGGTACACTTTTAATCCTCCTCTTGTCTCTACTCTCTAAATATCACTGACTAATATGTCTCCTAGCTCTCTTCCTTCTGCGCCTGCGCATCGGTTTTTGTCCAGCGTTCTCAGACCCCTCAGAGGACCTGCGTTAGAACTCTCCTTGCTATACTACTCAAACCTATTAACCTATATCTGTCAAAAGCTGGTATGGATGCAAGCAGTAGTGTTGCTACTAATTACCGTTATTACAGGTCAAAGAAACGACTCAAAGCAGGTAAGTATCTAATAATAATTATATTTTCTTTCAAGTACACTCTTAATCCTCCTCTCGTCTCTAATCTCTAAATATCACTGACTATATGTCTCCTAGCTCTTCCTTTTCTTCCTCCTGCGCCTGCGCACCGGTTTTTGTCCAGCGTTCTCATTGGCGCGGTGTTCATGTCCGCCACATACTTCCCCGCCAGCAACGTAGCTATGTTGCGAATTGAACAGTCTTCTTCTTTGGAGGGTATGTTTTGAGTATTGTTTTCGGCCTGGTATTGCTTGTTTCATTCCTCCGGTGTGGCTCGTTTTCTTCCTCTGCGTCCTCCAGTTCTGCATCATCCAGTAAGGTATAGGCTGGTTTTAAACGCTCTGTGTTTATTGTACTTTCTCCTGCTTCTGTCCGTATGATGTAATTACTATCGTTAATAGGTCTGACTATTTGGTAAGGTCCCTGATAAGGCGGTTCTAAAGGTTTCCTTACTGCATCTTTTCTCAAGAAAACATGTGTACAAGTTGCTAAGTCTTTATGTGTGAAAATCTTGACCTTTGAGTGATGTGCTGTTGGCTTCGGTTGTAATGTTCTCATGTGTTGTCTGAATTTCTTTATGAATTTTCGTGGGTCTGGTTGATCCAGGTCAGTAACTAAAAATTCTCCAGGTATACTCAATGTCGTCCCGTACAGTAACTCTGCTGGTGAGCTCTTAATGTCTTCTTTATAGACTGTTCGTAATCCCAAAAGTGCAGTGTGAAGGACCTCTGTCCAATCTTGATTGTTATGACACATTAAAGCCGTCTTCAACGTTCGGTGCCATCTTTCTAGTATTCCATTCGTCTGAGGGTGGTATGCTGTTGATCTCGTCTTCTTACAGATTTGCGAGTGCCTGGAATAGTTGTGACTCAAACTGTGATCCCTGATCAGTTGTTATAATTGCTGGTGTTCCAAAACGACATATCCAGTGTTTATAAAATGCGGTTGCAACTGAATCTGCGGTAATATCTTCCAACGGAATTGCTTCCGGCCAGCGGGTGAATCTATCAATCATGGTAAGTAAGTATTTGTACCCTCGGCATTGTCTCAATTCTCCTACGATGTCCAAATGTACATGTTGAAATCTCCGTGCTGGTACTGGGAACTGGATGTTGGGATTCCTCGTATGCTTGTGTATTTTGGCTAATTGGCATTGCGTGCATGTCCGTGCCCATCTTAGGATGTCTTTCTTCATGAATGGCCAAACGAACCGTTCTCTTATTAGCCGGCTGGTTGTTTTTCCGTTTGGGTGTGCTAAATTGTGTACCGCTTTGAAAATATGTAAACGTAATATCTCGAGTATGTAGGGTCTTGCCGTGCCTATGGAAACGTCGCAGTATATTGTCTTCTCCGTGTCGCCGAGGCGTAGTGGTTGCAATACTAATGATGTGTCCGATGTTAGGAGTTCTTTTAGTTGTGCGTCTGTCTCTTGTTCCGTCGCCAATTCATCTATGTCTACAATCGTCGGTAATTGTATTTCATTTATCCTGGACAATGTATCTGCAATAATATTGTTTTTTCCTTTTACATGAACGATGTCAGTTGTAAATTGTGCTATTAAATCAAGTTTTCGTGCCTGTCTTGGTGTGGCTTTGTCTGTCTTTTGCTTGAATGCAAATGTTAACCCTTTCGCGCCGAGCGCCGCATATATGCAGCATCCACTCGACGACCTGTGGGTACGGGCGCCGCATATATGCGAGATCCACTCGACGACCTGTGGGTACGAGCGCCGCATATATGCGGCATCGAAATGACGTGTATACAAATGCCATCTATAGTCGATGGCAACATTTTTCGTTACCGGCAGAACATTTTCTTTTGATTTTATTGACATATTGGATTAATCATTTCTTAAAAGTGCTCTTTGTTGAAACCACATCCAAACGTATTACGCAATAAACTGCAAACATCAAGACGATCGTTTACTGTTTTATACCAAATATTCTATCGAATTCATTCGACAGTAAACGATTTTTCATATTCGGTTTTTACAGGAATTAGGAATAGATCGGCTTAAGATATAATTCTTAATTCTGTAAAATTAGAATTTTCAGGTTCGGGTTTATATGATTTCCACTATGCATACTGAAAATTTTGAAGCAGTATCGAAATATGGAGGGGAACAGAGTGTCCAGAAGCCTCTATGCGTAATACAATAGATTATAATAAGTCAATGGGAATTGTAGACAAGGTGGACATGGTACTGAGTACCGTAAATTCAACGCGTAAATCACTGAAGTGGTATCGCAAATTTTTCTTCCACCTCATGGACATTTGTGTGTGGAATGCATATTGTATGTACAAGCACAATCGGAGAGAAACCATATCCATGTCAAAATTTCATTTCGCGTTGATAAAACAGATAATCGAAAAGTATCATCACAATGCAACGGGACGTCAAGACAGACCCGCTGATAATCCGATGAGGTTAACCGACAGGCATTTTCCCACATTCTGTAAGCCGAAAAACAGAAGACGGAGATGTGTAATTTGTAGCATCAATGATAAAAAAACGGATTCGCGGTATGAGTGCAAAGATTGCGATGTTGGCCTTTGTATAGATCCTTGCTTCCAAATATATCACACAGAATTATATTATTAGTTTTTACATATTATTATATTTTAATAATTTTCGTCTCGTTATTAATTATATTAAACATTTATTTGTTAAGCTTTGTAATTATATAAATACCCATGTTATTTATAATTATGTAAGTCTTTTTATATTAAAAATATAAATATACTTGTTACATTAGAGCAATGATTGTTTTATTCATCACAGTTATTATCTAAGACTTAGAACAACATATATACAGAAACCACGCGCACTGTGCATATTTCCCGAGCGAATTTCCGTTCAGTTACGGTACTTAGGCGGATGGAGCTGCCGTAGCAAAAGGGTTAAAAGCTTGTGATCGGTTCGGATTTGAAAATGAGTACCTTCTAACATGTATTTGAAATGCTTGACTGCTGTATAAATTGCTAGCAATTTTCGATCATAAGCGCTGTATCGCAATTCAGCGCCGTGTAATTTCCTTGAAAAGAAACCCAATGGTTTCCATGTTCCCTCCTGCAATTGTTTGAGTGTTGCTCCTATGGCCTTATCGGAAGCGTCCGTCGTAAGTCTGAGGGGTTCTGTTTGCTTGACGTGTACCAACAATGTGGCATTTGCTAAACTATGCTTGCATTTTTCAAATGCCTCTGTGGTTGTTCCGTTCCACGAAATTTTTGTTTTGTCGTTGCGTTTGCTGTTTCGTACATATTTGAAAAGAGGTTCTTGGATTCCTGAGGCATTCTTAATGAACTGACGGTAAAAATTTTAAATTCCTAAAAACCGCCGTAGTTCTGTAACTGTCCGTGGTCGTAGGTATTCCATGATGGCCTTGACGCGTTCTGGTATTGGTTTTATTCCTGTCACCGAAATGCGGTACCCCAAATAGTCTACTTCTGATTTTCCGAACACACTTTTGGCGATATTAATAGTCAAGCCGTAATCGTCCAGTTTTTTGAATAGTATTCTTAAATGTTTCCTGTGTTCCTCTTCGCTGCTGGATGCCACCAGAAAGTTGTCTATGTAACAATGCGTGCAGTCTAGACCTCTAAGGACTTCATTCATAAATCTTTGAAATGTCTGAGCCGCATTTCTTAACCCGAAAGGCATTACGGTGAATTCAAATAGCCCAAAAGGCGTTGTTACCGCCGTCTTGTGGACGTCCTCTTCTGCTACCGGTATCTGATGATACGCCCGCACCAGGTTGATTGTTGAAAAGAAATTTTTTCCTTGCAGGTGGTTGGCGAAATCGCTAATGTGAGGTATGGGGTACCTATCCGGAACGGTTGCTGCGTTTAGTTTCCTGAAATCCCCGCAAGGTCTCCATTCACCTGTCTTTTGGGGTACCAGGTGTAAAGGGCTTGCGTAGCTGCTACTGGATGGTCTGCAGTGTCCTTGTACACTCATTGTCTCGAATTCCATTCTTGCTGCTTTGTATTTCTCTGGTGCCAAACGTCGGGGCGTTCGAACACCGGTGGTCCTCTCGTTACTATATAATGTACGATTGCATGTCTCTTGTTCGCTGTTGCTGCTCGCGGTATGGTTATTCTTGGGAACTGCATGAGTAAATCTTTGTAATTCGTTCCTGGTGCTATTGTTGATACTGTTTGTGGTGCGGGTTTCAAACTTCCATGTCTTATGTGCTGTGTTAGTGAATCAATAATACATTGCCGCTTGATGTCTACCAGGAGTCCGTGTTGTCCCAAGAAATCCGCTCCGATCATCGGGCGGTCGACCTCGCATATGCAAAAAATTCCGGTTAAGTTTCGCCGTAATCCAAAATCCAGTGTCATTGTCCTCACTCCGTAGGTTTTAATAGCGGTGCCGTTCGCTGCGTATAACTGGTAGCTCGCTAGCTTACTCGGTCCCTGATGTAGTTTACGTGGAATTATGGATACTGCTGCCCCTGTGTCAACGAGGAATTTCCAACCTGTCTTGCGGTCCCTGATGTGGAGGCGGTGGGTGGTTGAAACGCCGTCGTTTGTTGCCTCCGCCAACGACGGGCGTTTTAGTTTTCCTTTGTCTTAGTAGCGTCAAAACTGCAGGGCTTAGTGCACTTGAAAGCAACAGTTCCAAAACGACGATGATAAAAGCATATGTTTTTACCTGGCCTCCCAGGCGAAATGCTCCTGAATCGTCTCTCTGGCGTGCGGTTTCTGTCTATTCTCCTGCTTGGACTACGTCGGTTAAGTGCCTCGACTGCTTACTGTAATGCATCTATCTTTGCCTCTAAAACCGTCATCTCCTTTGTTGTCATTGCATTGCACGTCACTGCGTTTACCGGCTTAGTAACCTCGCATATCGCATCTGCTTGTCGTGCGAGATCGGTGAGATTGTCTTGGCTGACGGCCAAAATAGCTCTTACCGGTTCCGGTAGGCGTTCCAAGAAAAGTGTTTTGAGGACCTCTTCGTTGCATTGTCCTGTTGCCAATGACTGTAATCTTTGCAGAAACATGGTAGGTTTGTCGATACCTAGCTCCTGTCCTCCTAATAAACGCCGTAATTTATAGCAAATTCGGTCGCCTGCACTAGTGTACACTGACTGCTAATGTTCCCAGTGCAACGCGTTCGATTGATGTCCTCTATTCGGTACACTGTACTCCTCGTATTCGGTTATATTGCACCATTAGAATACACATCTTATGTTGTGTTCGATGAGTGTCCCACTATTGTAGTGAACCACTCACTTTTTATTCGGACACCTTAAACAAACTGAACGAGTGCAAAGTTTATTGTCAATTTTGGCAGTGCAGTTGGCTGTATTAGCGGGAAAAAGCGGTTAGGTTGAAACGATGGAGTTTAAGCGATTTATGTTTTTAAACGAAATATTAGAAAGCAGCAGTAGTGACGAGGAAGAAGCAAATTTTATTGTAAGTTGTTTAAAAGAAGAAAGACCAAAAAGAAAAAATTTTCTGGATGTAATAAATGAGTATTCGGATGAAGAAGTAAGTAAATTTATATAAATATTTTCG